GGGGCAAGGCTCCTGGTGGGCCTTAGATAGACCCCCACGACCGCGATGGGCCCCCATTGAACGGCCACATGCCGCTCACCTCGTTCAATGGCGGCCGTGTCGGGGCCTCCCGGCACCGACCGCCATCGAATCGCGACCGAGTTCCCCGCCTGCCCGGAATCTACAGCCCAGTATGGGCTGCGCCTCGGGGGGCGGTGGGGCTCGGCCACGATCGCCAGCGTGAAACCACTCTCCACCATGCTCTGCTGGAGCAGATCTTGAGCTTGTGGAGAGTGGTTCACATTGGCCTGAATAAGGCCAAAACCGTTCAAATTCGGACGGGGGGGAAAGCGAGGCATTACTCGGCCTTATTGTCCCCCCCGTCCGATAGGGCCTCGACCTCCATGGCCTCTGATGGAGGTGAGGCCCTCTCTCCCGGCGCCTTCCCACAGGGTTGGCGCTGCGGCTGGGGCTCCTGTGTTGAGCCGCCAGCCTCCTCCCTCATCTTCTCCACCGGCCGCGCTTCGGCCGGAGGGGGAGCGCCGGTGGCAGGGGCCTGCTCCTTGGGTCCCTGCCCCGGCGGTCTCCCGCGCACGTTCTTCTGGGCGCAACTGTTGGCGCCCAGGACGTGCGTCGCCGGCCTGCCCTTGTCCGCGCACAGCGGGCACTTGGGGGCAGACCGGCAGTCGCGGGAGGTGTGACCGGTCTCACCGCACCGGTAGCACCTCCCGCTCCTATCCGCCGCACTTGGGCAGGTCGACCTCACGTGGCCCCTCTCGAGGCATTTGTGGCACCGCATAGGGCGCGCCTCGAGAGGGTCCACGCGGGCCGCCCCCCAGCCGACCCGGATCCTCTTTTTCCGGGCCAGCTCCAACGCCGAGGTGAGGGGCAGGCGCAGCCAGAGGCTGTGGGCGCCCCCGGCGGCCGGCTGCAGTGCTCCGCACTGCACGTCGGAGGCACTACAGTTCCCGGCCTCCGCCACCCACCCCTTCACCTCTTCGACGCCAAGGAGTCGTCGAGATCGCGCAAGCGTACCTCGGTCATCCTCCTTGGGCGGTCGACCCTTGTGCCCTCCTCCCCGAGGAAGACACGCGTGACGTATCCTGCGAGGATAGTCAGGGGGTCCGCGAGGAGGTCCGCTTTGTCAGCGTGTCCGTCCCCGGACACCTCTATGACCTTGGCACCGGTGGCCGCGGTTCTAACATGAACCCGGTCCTCGATGCCAAGGTCCTTCAAATCGACCCCCCGCCGCAGCCTGACCCCATGGTCAGGCCATCCTCACGATAATCCCCATCGGGACGCGTGAGGACCACGGCCGACGTGCGCGGGGGCGTCGCTTCGGGGCCCTTCTGGGCGCCCCGCCGGCTTGCCCTTTCGCCGGGGGGCCGGGGGCAACCGCCTTAAGGGCTCCCTTCGCCGCCTTTTTCTCTGCGGCTCTAGCTCTCCTCTCCAGCACCGTCGCGAATGTGTCGACACCCGCGACGGGCTGGGGGGGCTTGTCGGTCCCTTTATTTGAGGGACCCGCCTCTTCCACCTTTTGCGTCTGCCGCGAAAGGGGGGCCTTCTTTTTCTTCCTCTTCTTCTTCCTCTTGGCCCCCCCCGCGGTGCTCGCATTCTCCCCCGGAGGATCCGTCCTCCTTGTTCCGGACCTCTGGTCGGCCCCGGGAACCGGGCGGTCCCCCGCGGCACCCCTCCTCCCCTCTCAAGGGTTGGAGGGGACCGCCGCAGGGCCGCTAATACGGCCCCCGCCGCCGACAAAAGCCCGGAACATTTCCTCCATTTTCTGGAGGATCTCCCTTTGGGACCGATCTACGGCCTCCTGGATCCTCCTCCACCATCTCCCCCGTGAGCTCTCCTGCCTTCACTAGCAGGGGCCTCCCCGTTTTCTTCGGGGCCTGGGGGGGGGTAGCAGAGAGGGGTTCTTCGCCTGGCTTTGAGGGGGAAGGAGAGGTCCTCTTCCTAGAAGAGGACCTCTCCTTCCCCCTTGTCCTCGATCTCTCCCTCCCCGACTTTGGGACCCGGGAGGTGCCAGCCTTCGGTGTGACCACCTCCCAGGTCCTTTTTTCCGGGGGCGGAGGATCCGTCACCTTCCCGGGGGGAGGAGGGTCCATCGGCAACTCGTCGGTTGCCTCCGGCATCTCCTCCTCCCACACCGTCTCCCCCGCAGGGGTGGTATCCCGCCCCGTCAGGGGCGGATCGGGGGTGGCGGCATCTTCTCCCGGTCCCTGTCGTTTCTCTCTCGCAGGAGGTCGGCGACGAGAGCCTTGAGGGCCGCGAGCTCTTCCCTCAGTTGCTCCTCCCTCTCGCTCATCCCTCCGCTCGCCCTCGTAGAGAGGGCGTCCACTGCGACCCTGGTATATAGGGCCGCGTCTCTTATAGCGCCAGCCAGGGAGCCTTTGAGGTTTTTATTCACCCTCGCGGCCTCATCGGCCCTGCTGGCGTGTTCGAGCACCTTAGCCACCAGGTCGCGGGTGGGGAGCTGGGGGATTTGTTCCTCCAGCTCCCTCACCCTCTTCCTTCTCTCGGCGCCCTCGAACTGGCGGGAGTGGTAGTCCCCCTGGAGGACTCTCTCGGCGTCGCGCTGCCGCCTCTTCAGGGCGTTGAGAGTCCTGTTTGCCTCCTTGAGGGCAGCCGCATGGACACCTTTTCCTGTTGTGATGGGCCTTCCCCTCCCGTCCTTTCTCTCAGGGAGGAGGTCTTCCTCCTCCCCGCTGGAGCTGTCGAGGGGGCGCGCCTGCTTCGCGCTTTTCCCCCTCCCACCGCTCCGACTCCTCTTTGTGGCCCCCGAGAGGGACGTGTGGGACTTAGTGCTCTCGTCGGAGCCACCGCCCCCCTCGGGGTCCCCCCCGCGCGAGGATTCGTCGGAGTCCTCGATGGCGCTACTCGCCGCGCTCGACGTCATCGCCCCCCCCCCCT